AAAAAAAAAAAGAAAAAAAGGAAAAATAAAAAATATGAAAAAACCGGTACAATTCCACTTTTGAACACCGTGTCCTGGCAGTAGTGGTTAAGAGACTTGGCTCTTGAGTCCGAAGTCGTCGGTTCGAATCTGTGCTTGCACGGAGGAGGACTTAGGCCCAGACGTACGGAATCCATACTAATATGTTATTCTAACTTATTCAGAAAAATAAACTGAACAACTTTTGCCTCATGGTCACTTTTTGTGTGGTTTTGAAAATAGGTTACTGATTTCTTTATTTTTTTAATCTGCGTTCCGACACAGTTGGCAGGACCGTCGGGTGCAAGCAACCTGCTCCCGTTGAAATCATGCGTTACGAAGAAGTGCTCTGTTTCGGGACTGTTCAGAAAACTTTGTTTTTTGGCACTTGCCCACTGGTTTTTGAAAGTGCGTTTCGGCTAAGTTTGAAGGACTATAGTAGTCTGTCGTTTTGTAGTCTGTCGTTTTGTGTTTTTTTAGGCTGCTGAAGGATCGAGGAGGCAGACTAAGCCTCTCCCGATAGTTTCTTTGCGTAAGCAATTTTTTTACAATAAGGTACTGCTTCCATACTTAGGACAAGGTACAGGAGATAAGCATGGTTGATACTGTCTTCGGACCCTTTAGAAGACTGAATGGTGACGAAAGAGCTTTCCGAGGCCCGTCCCCTGACGCGGCATCGGGAAAGCAGTAACGTTTTTCCTCGGAGTTATCGATAACTAGGTGTGTAGTCAAAAGCCTACTTTGCAAGTAGTACAGAAGCATGATAAGTCGTTTCACGTATCAAGAGAGGAGCTGATGATTATTAATAGGTAGTAGTAGTATAGGTTAACTCTCTTTCTCATTTCGAGACATCCTCCCTCTGGATGACCGGTACTGGCACCGGTCGAAACGCGGCGTCGAGGGTCGCCAGTGTGCAGCACCGAGAGGTTCTGCACGGTGCTTCGTCATGATTCCAGTCATTATTTTTTACGACGCATAAGTTTCGTTTTGAGTGATGAAAGTTGACTGTTTCGAGTGCTCTAAGCTGTGTGAGTACTCACCGTTCACGTCTTGCATGGACTAAGTCTTTGCGGCTTGCTGCATTGAAGAACATTTTCATTTCACTGTCGAACGCTTCAACCAACCGAGGGATGTTACTGGGACGATGGTGCTAGTGATTCTAGAAGCTACGTGACACGAGGTACGAGATAAGAGCTGCAACCTACGAGCTGTTTTTCTACAAGACACGAGAGTGTGAAGATACCGATTATTGAAAAAGGACAGTCGAAGACGGAGAGAAGATGTATAATAGAAGAAGTGATTACAGAGGATACAAGAGAGGTGGGTGGGAAGACAGACGAGATAGAGGACGCGAAGATCAGAGGGATAGGAGAAGCGATGAGAGAATGGGGTGGTCCGCTGATGAGCAAGGAGGGAGGAATCATGGAGGAGTGAGGCAAATCAAGTGTTGGAGGAGTGAGGCAAATCATGGAGGAGTGAGGCAAATCGAATGTGGAGAGTTTGGGCACTATAAAAGCCAGTGCCCAAGGCTGCAAGGAAGACTTGGAGGAGGAGGAGGGGGCTCTTCCATTACTCTAAGTAGAGAATTGGAGGAATCTTTGAGCTCCGTTGGAAAAATGGTGAAGTATTTGTTTGACCAGAAGAAAGAGGAGGAAGACGCGAGACGCGAAGCCGACGAAAAGAAGAGAAAAGAAGACGAGGCGAAAGTGGCGAAGGAGGAAGCAGCGAAGGATGAGAATGAGAAGAAGCAACGGAAAGCTGACAAGGAAGCAAGACGCAATCGGAGCTCAAGAAGTTGCTGACCGAGCAGAGACAGGAGTATCAGGAGCATTTGGACAAGTTAGCCATGAAGATGAAGGATGTGTCGGTCAGAAAGAAAAAGAAAGGAAAGGTCGTTGTGATCGTCTCCTCCAGCTCTGGGAAGGATGAGGCTTCTGAGGAAGAGACGCCGCTTAAAGATAAGAGAAAGAGGAGGGAATCTACCGGTGCGGTGGTGAAYAGCCCACCCGTCGMGACGCCTACAAAGATGGGAAAGCGGKAAGAAGCCTCGACCSCGACAACGGCGACAAGCTTAAGGACCAARAAAGGGAGGGGGCGGCCAACTAAAGCTGACGCTCAARCGAMAAGGATGGCCAAAGGCGAGGACCCCTGGGAGGGAGTGTCGTTGGGTGGGAAGTACGCTACGGAGTCAGCATACAGAAAKGCGGTACGGAAAGCGCTTGCGGMCTTCTATCCRGAAACACTKGAGTTGATGTGCCAARGAGCAGGGATTCCGTTCTTCGATACTAATGATGTTGTGGATGTGCTAGCAGAACTGAGGGTTACRTACTGCTTTCGAGAAAGGYGYCAGCCAGGGTCGACCTCAAGCAAACCAAGTGAAGGAGATCCACTGAAGGGAGAGCTWAGGGATCCAGAAGGAGAGAAGGACCCCTGAGTCCGAAACATGGAGCATCCTGCGTGAGTTTCTCGCATGGAGAAGATGGTGTAGACTAAGTCGAAGAGGGAAAGAGNAGGAGAGAAGGACCCCTGAGTCCGAAACATGGAGCATCCTGCGTGAGTTTCTCGCATGGAGAAGATGGTGTAGACTAAGTCGAAGAGGGAAAGAGCTGAGAGCATTGATAGATAGAATTCTGAGAAATGCTCTGCTAATGCTCATACTGGAAGATGAGGTAGATTGGGGACGAAGATTCGTCGAGAGCATTTGGGAGGTCTTTGAAAAAAATAGGGAGAGGTGGGACAATCCTAAGTCTTGTGTCTATGTCCTGTTAGACCCTCGGTGCAGGCTAATCTACGTAGGCAAGACTGAAAGGTCGCTCGCCGAAAGATGGTCTGAACACATTGGGAGAACGCTTGCCTTCGAAGATCACAGGAGAAAGAATAAACTATATTTGTGGCTTAGGAAGTGGGGGTGGAACTTCTATATTCCAATCCCAATAGCCTTAGCCTCGAAAGATGAGTTAGAAGGCCTGGAGCAGAGAATCATTAGGAGATGGTCCCCTGCGCTAAACGTGAATGGATGGAAGGACGACAAGAAAACGAAGAAGAGCAAGAGGAAGGGAAGGAGAGAGAGAGGAAAGCTACGGAATTCAGTGTTCGAAAACGAGAGAGTTGTGCGCTTTACAGTTAAGAATGAAGAAAGTAGTGCGAGACTGTCTGGAATTATTGCCAATTTGAAAGGGAAGAGAGAA